TGCCTATGAATCCCTGAAAATAATTATTATCTCCTTATGCAGAGCAAGTTGGAAAATAAGTGGCTTACACAGAGTTTTCACCGACTGAAGTGGACAGAAATCACTGCTTGCTGTTAATGCTTGACAAAACTTTTACATATCTCCCTCACAAATTGTAATTCTAGGATATTTTTTGAGTTGATATTATATATACCTTTGAAAATGATGATAAATAATGTTGAAAATTCTCAAAAAAAATTCAATACATTGTCAGTGATTTTGTTGGTGGAGCTCGATTCCATTCATTTTCAGTGGAATCAATAAGATTTTTAGAATGTACGGATTTTTAGTCAAACGATAATTTGTATTCATCGTTTTGTTTCAACGGTAATCTCGTCTACATTACTTCGGACATAATATTATACTAGTAACTTCTTACATAAACTACTTCTCACGATTTGATCTCCACAAACTTTATTAAAAAAGTATATCACGCCATGTTTCACAGTAGCTTTTTCAACATGTTTCGCCAACACAGTAGCTTCTTCAAATCTGTTAAAGAAGCTACTGTGCTAGCGAAACGTGATCTATTTTTCAAATAAAGTTTGTGAAGATCAAATCGTGAGATGTAGTTCATTCAATTACTATGGCCGTTACAAGTAACGGCCGAATCAATCAGAAAAATAGTAACTTCTAGTACATAACTTCAAATACTTGGTTGAATAGTTGAAGTTAGTGGCTTCTCTCATAGAAATAATTCAATGTATGGTAAAATGATGGAAGTATGAAATGAAAATACACCTTTTTTTCAATGCTATATTCATAGTGAAAGTACAGTACCAATTACAAGAAACGACATTTAAGCGTTTAATCCCATGTCATTTGTTAAATTCAGAGAAAAATAGTTTGTTGAATTCACATTTCTACCTAGAGGCAGGGATATCGTATATGCCACAATTCAATCTACTACAGCAACTTTCACATAGAGTACACATAATATTCAATATAGTTAGGTTAGGTTAGGTCCAAAGTGAGTGTTTCTTTTTAACCCTCCTCCGCAACCCGCAAGGGTTTATTGTGGCTCACACCTATTCACACTCGACCAAATAAACCCAACTTCTTAACGAAACCGATTAATTTGTATGGTGAGTGGTCTTTCAGGTCAGATGGTATGAGTACGACTCTGCCGAACTCTAAAAACCTAATTTGGTCTTCAGCGGGACAGGCACAAAGTATATGCTCTGCTGTTGCATCATTTTCCAAACAGAGAAGACACACACTGTTCTCCGACAGTCCGAGTCTCTACATATGATGATTTAAATGACAGTGACCTGTAAGAAGGCCTGTTAGACAATTATATTGAGCAAACAAAAAAAAACTGAAATTACAATGTAATAAAATACAAGCAGCAATTAAAAATTGAACTATTTACCAGTGCCGGCTGCTGCCGCCGCAATTTATGGTACATTTACGATTTTCTCACAATAGGACTCTGCTGTGACGATCTGGGCCAGATGCAGTAAGTTATAGTGAATCACACCAGCCGCTGATCACCATACAATAACCATGGTCTTTTTTGGTGAGTTTTTGCGTTCGAGAAGTGCCTGGGTGGCTCATCAGTGTCCAACCACTCTTCTGAACGTCTTCTGTTGTCGTAGATGGTCCACTTTTCTTAAAACGTGACGATCCGATACAAAAATGGGTCGTTTTGGTTGCGCAAAAAAAAGAAGAAGAACCTCGAAATGTGACAATTTCTGTCGATCGTTCAAATTGTGGGGCACCTACTTTTCGAGCTTCATGAGTTTTCCAATACGTTTTGAACCATCACAAAACGCATGGGAGCTGACGCCCAGTTCTTTCGCCATCACAGGCATTATTCGTAATGGGTCAGTCACCACCAGGGTCCTCAAATCCCCGTCATGGATTACTGTTGGTGGACCTGTTCGGAGCTTATCTTTGAGACTAAAATCTCCGGAACGAAATTTCGCAAACCAACGTCGAACAGTGCGTTCATTAAGACCATCATTGCCAAATGTCTGGTTAATTTTTTGGGCTGTTTCGGCAGAGCTTTGGCTGAAAATCGTTTAACGAAATCTTATAGTAATAAGCTGAAAAAATAAGTTACAAAAACACATGCCATTAAAACGGACACAACTTCTTATACAACCTATTAACTAGTTGTAACGAGATTACGAAAACAAAGCATTCGAGATTCAATACCGGACCACGTGGTTTCAACTCGCCAAGGTCTCATCAGTGGTGCTAGGCTGAACCACAAATGCATGGCTGGGCTCAACGTATCTTTGATAATCGTGGATTGAGGCCTCTGTCGATACCATAAATTGAGTTTTCATAGGAATCTCCACCCTTTCAGGCTTGCCATTTGTTGTACAGCAATGCATTCGTGTAGCAATGCACTCATGAGACCTTTGGTTCATGAATACTTTGATAGGCTCAATAACTGATATCATTTCAATAGAATTGCAAGTTCTAATTGATTTTTAATTTTTAAATAACTACTAGTCTATTTCAGACTCTTTATTGCTTTAATATCAAGAAATGAAACTTGGCCAGCAGTAAATCAATATTAACACGGTAGAAAGCTTTTATAAAATGAGTGTAAATCACATCAATTTGAAGTTCGTAGACATTCAGATTTAAGTTGTCCTTCTAAGTAATTAGATTGATAGTAGTAGATTATTGTTTACCGAAATTCTATGTTGTTCGTAATTAATAATAGAACTTATATCCCCTGACAGTTAGTATTGCTGTGAGATAATTCAAAAGTTTGGGGATAGCGAACAGAGACAACAATAACTAATCACATTACCTTTCGCCTCGGATAGGATTTATATCTAGTTCAAAGAAGCTTCCTAGTCGCAATTAACAATGCTTTTATCTCCAGAGATTGGAATGAATCTAGTCTGAAAGTTTTTTCACGAGCCGTCATTTCTTCAATATCACTTGCATAATCACAAATACGAGATTGCTATAGTATTTTCTTCAAAGGGTTGGACAAACACCAATTTTTTTATTCAAAATATACCTATTGTTGCTTCTGCCGAAATTTTCAATTTGGAAAAATATTTTTTCAATTCTGTGGTTTTTTTATCTGCCAGAAAACACCTCTTCTTCTTAATAGAAAATTATATCGATTCGAAATTTGCACTCGCCAGGTTTAGAATTGGCTAATTATGAAAATAATGTCAAATAAAACGACCAGACATTGAAAAATCATCTCACAAATATGCCTTCTCTTTATGGTTTGTCACCTCATATATCTCATCTACCTCATATATCTCTTCTAACTCATATACACGATATCACCTTAGCAAAATTTCTCCTCTTAGACTTTATTGAGTAGAAGCACATCCGAAGAAAAAATCAATATTATGAAGAAGACGTGAATTGAAAATCGAATAGTCGAATTGTTGTAATTTTTAACAATGCCTACAAATGCTAAAGAAGAAGTGTTTTCTCATAGGAGACTTCCTGGGTTTAGCGGTAGGTTATTCGATATATTTTCCTTATATCTATATCTGTAGAGTAGGGAGGGTGAGTGTATTCCCACATCATTTAGGCCACATGTGACCCATAGTACATCCTCATTGTACATTGTACTCCCGAGGAGTTGTCCACCTAAGTCATCGTCCATTCTGTCCTTTTCAGGAAGTTGGACAGGTCACTAGGAGACATCTCTTTTATATCGACAGTTGAAGGCCAAGACTCGCCGAACACACACTCTCTTTGGCAACTTTGAGGTGTCTCACGGCGGCCTTCGTGAAGGTTTTGGAAGGTGCAGCGACATTACTGTCGTTGCGCGGCTTCTTCAACCTTCTTGGGATTCCCTCCGTGGAAGTACTCAAGTAAGGGGGCTTTCCTGCAGGGGCAGCCGGTTCCTTGACTTTATTCAAGGCGGAGCTCTTGGCGCCCGCCGCAGGAAGTGCCCTTGCTGTTGAAGGTGGAGTGGGGGAGGAGGCAGGAGTGGCAGCACTTACAGTTGCTGCCACTCCTGCCTCTATCGCTCTCTTTCTCTTTTTGGCCTCGGCGCCGCAAATGCGCTTACGCCTTGGCCTTTGTATTATATCATGAGGTGATCTGCCATGTCCAGCCTCATTCCAAGTGATAGATTGGGGTGGACATTTCTGTTTATTCCCAGCCACCGCCATGATTGAGGTGAGCAGCCTCGGGGTTGGTTTTTGCTTTTTCAGTGTCTGTTTTTGTGTTTGTTTCATTCATGTCTGTTCCTACGAGTAGCAGGGGAAGTGTTGGTCACTCTGGCAGAGCCCCGCATTACCAGAGGAAGGTTGAGAACAATGAGGTTTCGCCCGTTTCCCCAAGGGGATCGTTCCTAACCGCATATTCAGCTGTCGGCACGATTCTTTACACCTTAGCTTGGGTAGGTTGGTTCACGGTGGCATGTTTCGCAAAGGCTTTTGGGGAGTTTTGGACAGGCCCAATCGTGAATATCAAGGCTGTCGATCCCATAGATATTGTCTTCGCAGGATTGTACTTTGACGCCTAATTGCTAACTAATTGCTTTGCAGTGGAAGCTGCAGCGATAGATAGAATGCAAATCTCATTCAGCTGTCGAGGTTCGGCTTTGCAACTGACCGCTTCGGGGAGAATCTTTCACCTTAGTAATTTGTAAATTGAGTCTTTTATCGATCCCAAGATGACGTCATCATGAGGAAAAATGTACATTTTTACTCATATTCAGGCGTATCCTTTGAAGGCGATTGGATTCAACAATGTATTAGGGGTTCAGACTAGCATCACTGATGATACTTGCTTCACTTATGATCTCTGGGTTTAATGATATATTAGGTTAGAAAACTTTTCCTATTTTGATTCATTTGATAAATTGACAATCTCAGGCAAAAATGTATATCAATATTTTAATTTTATTTGCGACATAAACATAATAATTCGTTACCTGTGATATTAAATTATCCCTATTTCTGAACTGATTTCAACCAGATTTTTTAAGCCATTTTTTTGAGAAAAATAATTTGTTTCAGGAAAGATGCCTCCAACGTATAATCGCCTACTGAACTATGACTTGTTGAGTCATAGATATCTAAGTATCTAGAATGAAGATGTTTTATGAAGACTGTCATTTGGTGTACATTTTCCTACTTTTCGTGGAATTTGACGAAGCTTTTGATCCATGTGAGTATGAAAGTATCCGTCTTTAATTTTTTTGTGAATAAATCATTCAGTATTGTACATTTGCAATATTGTTCAACAATTTTATTCACACGAAATAAGAATTATATGGAAATTTTACAGCGATTACAGAATAGGGCTTTGGTATATACGATTTTGAATAAAGGTAACGTAGATGCATGCGTCCCTTGAAATTTTGAGTGTAACACGGGGAGTATATCTCAATACGTTCATATTTTGATATAAATACATGAATGAACAACAACTATGCATTTAAAACAAGAAATTCAACTGATATCCAGTCAAAAAGATATAACACAAGTTAAGGACAGAATCAATTATTCTATAAAGTAGAAAATCTAGAACTATGCATCTCTCCCAACTACCTATACCGTAGGCTGTAGTGAATGCTGGCCAGAAAAAAACTACTCTCTCCGCTAACACCACGCTAGATATTGAATTATATCCGACAGACATTTATGCAAGATACGTCAGTCTCGCATATGTTCCCCGTTCATTCAGCAGCAGAATCATGCTAAAAATATTCGAGTAGATCACCTCTAGACCGATTTCAATGTATTACCTCTCATCAGTGCAGGAATGATCTGACCCTAACAGCAAAGTGTCTGAGTTAGAGGTGGGTTAGGTACAAAGTGAGTGGGTCTACTCGACCCTTCACCGCAACACGCAAGGGTTTATTTTGGCTCACACCTATTCACACTCGACCAAATAAACCCAGCTTCTTAACGAAGCTTATTAGTTTGTATGGTAAGTGGTCTTTCTGGTCAGATGGTAAGAGTACGGCTCTGTCGAACTCTGGAAACCTGATTCGGTCCCCAGTGGAGTAGGCATAAAGTATCTGCTCTGCTGTTTCATCATTTTCCAAACAGAGGCGACATACACTGTCTTCAGACAGTCCGAGTCATCACATGATGATTCAAATGACGGTGACCTGTGAGAGGGCCTGTTAGACATCGTAGTTCATCCCTACTATAGTACAACAACTGTTTACAGTTGTATCAAGCTTCGAAGGATGAATAAACGCCTTGGAGTGAGCCAATCCTAGAAGATTTTGCCAAAAGTCCATAAATATTCTTGCAATCTTTATTTGACAAAGCCTAAAGTGATGTGAATGACAGGTTCTGGTCCGATGAAGCTGCTTGCGGCACCCTCCTTTGCGAGAAAGTCAGCAGCCTCACTGCATTCCAGGCCAGTATGGCCAGGAATCCAGACCAGAGACAATCTGTCAAGTCTGCCTATCAAGAAGAGTCGTTTTTGGTAATTTGCTACCAATTCAGACGTTGCTCGGTATGATCCAAGAGCTTCCAATGCCGCTAGACTGTCCGCGAATATTTTCATTGACTTTTGTATAAGGTTGGATTCTTCTAATCTCTCCGATCACAATTCAATAGCGTAAATTTCCCCTTGAAATACAGTATCATAGGTTGATATCTTTGTCCTGGGTCTGCGACTGAAAACACCTGCACCTGAACCGGATGGTGGTTTTGATCCATCTGTGAACCAATAACTTTCTGCTCTTAATATTTCCTTCTACCGGAAGATCCAGTCCTCTCTACTCGGGAACAGTACTTTATAAGGCAGTTAATAGTTGACAGTTGGAGGCATAAAGTCAGAGGTCATTTTCAGAATGCTGTGACTTCCATTCTCAACCAACAATCTATTACACTTTGCATTAAATTGGTTTGTGCAATTGGAAATGGGCAGAAGGTTATATTCAGTCCATCTAGCCTCACTTTTCAGAAAAATGTGGAGAGGAGGTAGATCTGAAATGATCTCCATGTGCCGCTGACGGTGTGGTACTGATGGCACCACCAATGGCCAGACAAGCCTGTCTCTGTAAGCCAGAGAGCTTTGCCTGGACCATTTTCTATAAAGCCTTTGGCCACCAGGCAATTGCACCATATGTGGTCATTGGTCTGACAATCATCAAATAAATCCAATGGATTTATTTGGGACCTAAACCCCAAGTTTTACCACATATCCATCGACATGTCCATAGGGACAGTCTGGCTTTATATAAAACTTTATCCAAATGAGCGTTCCAGGTGAGTTATTTATCAAGGACAATGCCAAGATATCTCACCTCCATTCCAAATGGAATGACCTCACCATTGAGAAAAAGTAGCGTTAGATCGTCCAATTTTCTCCTCCTGGTGATGGGAATTATCAGTTTTGCTGTAGTTGACTGGCATCTGCTCCCGCAGGCACCAACTGTAAACAACGTCCATCGTTCTTTGGAGGATATTACAAGCTACCCTTCCCGACGTGGACCTTGCCAAGATGACAAGGTCATCCGCATAAGCTTGCAGATATAATTTTCTTATGTCGAAGGTATCAAGCAGACTCCATCAGGAGTGACCACAGAAGGGGAGATAGTACCCCACCTTGAGGGCAGCCTTTGGTGACTCTGAACCTAGTGGCCTTGGCTTGAAGAGACGTAGTTGCAGTTCTATTTACGAGCATGGCATAGATCCAGCCTTTTATGGTCGATTCTATATTTTTTTTAGCCAGAGATGATCCTATAGATTTAGGTAGTGCAATGTCAAATGCTCCTTCAATATCGAGAAATACAGCAACCGCAATCTCCTTGTTGTCAAGGGATTGGTCGATTTTCTCTACAAGGTTGTTTAATGCCGGTTTGATAAGCATGGTTATGTAGGGGGAATACATATAATGCCACCCTCCTGATGTGTTTATCCAGTATCCTCTTAAGTTTTTTCAACCGGAAGGATGTAAGTCTGATTGGCCGTACCGATTTGTGTGGGACATTGACATCCTAGCGGCTCCACTGCATGTATGAAACTTTCTTGAGAGAAAGATGTATTAAGTAATAACAGCTCCATCTTGTGAATCAAGCTCAAGTACACGTTGAAGTCAATCGAGTCCCAGACACACTGAGGTATCTTACATAAATGTCTGTCGGATATAATTCAATGTCCAGCGCGGTGTTAGCCGAGGAAGTAGTTGTTTTCTGGCAGGCATTAACCAGAACCTACTGTATAGTTGCGTTGGGAGAGATGAATTTGTCAAGACTCCATTTCAAATTTTTATTTTCCTATGCCTATGTATCTTTTTTCGAAACACTCTTCAGACTCATTGTCGACTAATTTCACACCCAATTATCACAAGACCCTCCTTTTCTCTTGAGAAAAAGTGGCGGATGTCTTCACAGTATTGTTTTTTTTTATCAAAAAATACTGAGAATAAAGCTTAGTTATGTAAACATTTTTGATCTTGACATGTAGATCCGTTCAAAAGACGGCAGCAAGGGATTTTTTACGTCTGCACTGTATAAACAGTGTTTCGTTTAATGAAAGAAAAACTTGGTCTGATTCATTGGATATACAATTGTAACGTCGGCGATGTCGGATTTTCCCATTACAAAACCGTACGTACATGTAAACTGCTGCCACATAACTGTTCTGGTGGGAAAAGGGAAAAAGACCCCCGTGGAGCCGCGCTGTTATCGGATACACTTAACTGTTGTAACCGATCACAATTTATTTTCATGGCCTCCGGTCCCCAGCGAAGCTTGATGCGCCGGGAAATAAGTATGCGGTCTTATCACGTCTAGTTGATGCTTTGAGGAAGGAGTCGATCTCATTCCTCCAGCTACGGCACGTTATCTTGAACGCGTCATCACTTTTCTTAACGGAAAACTAGGGGAGAAAACGCACTTAGGCTTTTATAAAAACCACCAACATTGAAAACTAAAATTATATGCGGTGTTTTATTAAACCGCATCTTTATCTGCTACGATATTCGAAAAATATTTTTAGCCTTCTTCAGGTCTATATGTTCAGGTTCATTGCTATTATATTTTTTGAGAATATCTACTATCTTTCTATTTTATAAATATCTATCTATACTATTTACACATTTATACTATGCTATATTCCTATCTTATTAGTCAGTGGGCTATGCGTGAAGATAGGCAGTAAACAATTCTAAAGAAATGAACTTCAAATGTTCAAGCCAGTTGTTTTCTGATAGGCGTCAGTCCATTCAACCTACTCCGAGACTGGCTTGAACATTTTTTCACTGATGAGTGGCTGAGGAGCCCGAAACCGGTCTGCAAATGTGCCCGTTCCAAAATTGAAGGTCGACTTTTTCAGTTGTATTGCCAATTGCATATGCAGGAAATTTTCTGTGAAGATTCCTGCACTGACGCCTGTCGGATATATTCCAACGCCATTTGTGGTATTAGCCAGGGGAGTACTTGTTTTCCGATAGGCCTACTGTGTAGGTATATCCGAGACTGGCTTGAACATTTGAAGTTCATTTCTTTAGATTTTGATATTTCTATATTATGCTATATTATCTATAGTGTATTATATATCTATATTATACTGTCTAGAAATCTAGAAAGCCAATTGTGAGATTAATACATTCTAAAATGGTGATAATAGTAATTGTTTTAAATTTAGTCGGACTTCCTCAATATGTGCTGAGTTTCAACATATATTCACGTTTTCTTTGTTTATAGATATACTAATACAAATTTGAAGATGTTCTACTCATTTCTGTAATTTTGTTGTAAATTTAAGTGCTATTCCTATATTTTCGATCAAAAAATATTTCGCACTGACATGATCCGAATATCAATCACATAAATTGAAATCAATTTTGGTACTTGTGACTTTTGGGAGCCGTCTCTCACTTGTTCTTTTCTTTTGAGTCTTCGAAAAACACTGCAATCTCATGAAATTTTATTTTCCTCTCCATCTCTTTCCTGACACCCAATATAACAATCTTGTTTCCTGTACAAGTTTGTACAGGTCAGTAGTTGGATGCTTGTCATATTTTCCTGAACACACTTTTGGATGATCACAAATTACTAGCCTCCTATGATTCATTGCCATTGCCTGATTAACGGAAAAACAGATTTTAAACAGATTTTTTTAAAACTTTTGCATATGACATGATGATCTGCCCTTGTCCATTTATTGCACTGCTTGCAACTAAGGTATTACTTACACACC